GGAAGCGGCCTGGGGTGCCTTCATATTTCAGGTGAGGGTGCGGGCAGAGTCGACGGGGACCGGGCTCCGAACGAAGCGTCGGAATTTGAAGCCCAGGCGTTTTTGAAGTAAAGGATCGGGGAAGTTTTTTATTCTCTCTCTCTCTCTCTTCAGGGTTTTAGCTGCAGACTAGCCCAGCCAAGATGCACTCTCATATATTCAGATTTCCAGCCGGTTTGTAACCCGGTAGTGTATCACTCGCTGGAAAGAAACCACTTCTCTTATTCAGCACGAAAGAATAAGAGCAAGGGTAGTGCATTTTTCAATATCTGTATTATACACAAACTGTAGCCAGCAAGTAGCAATCCCAATCAATCCACGAGTATCAGGATTTTAATTCACGATTGAGTTCTTCCCACCTACCCCAACTTAAATGTGCGGTAAATTTACCAGATATGTCACTGGACTAACCCAACTTCCCTGCCCTATTCTGTGTTTATTATTTACTTTTTTTTTTACAAAAAACGCACCTGTCCCTTTTCTTGTCTTTTGGCTTTCAAAGTCATCTCCCATGCCACAAAATTGTTGTTTAATTGTATGCAGTTTGTTTTGTGTTTATTTGAAAGCATATGTTTTCAGGCTACTCTTATCTAGCACGTGTGTTTGATACCTTACAGATCTTTTAAGTCGTAGTGCTTAGACTTGACATAGAGCTGTACGATGTGTTACACATGAATGTGGGGCTTTGTGTTTTTTAAGAGGGGGGGAAAAAAAAGGTAGTGTCACAGTTTGGCAAAGCTGTTTTCTGAGGCAAATTTCCCATGTAGAGATTTGTGCAATGAAAGTGTTAAATGTCCTAATTTGAAGTGTTAGAAATTTGCAGCAGATTTAGTCAAATGCTGACTTTGTATCCCAACTATGGTGTGTACTACAAAAACTGAGTTATATTTTAAAAAGGAAAAATATTGTGCCACACACTGATATAGGGAACACTTGGCTTGGGTGATGGGCATTTGATTCTCAAAACCTTCTCTACTATTCAATGCACTAATGGCTAATTATCACCATTATCCATCATGTTCAAAATTCCATCGGTTTGTGAGTGGAATATGTTCAATGACCAGTGACTGCTGTACCCTGGAATGTAGAATTCTTCATCTGTCTTAAATAACAAACTGCTTTAATCGAAGACAGACTGTATTCGCTAATTTCTCAGTGATAAGTTTTCAGTATTCAATCTATCCAACACTTTAAACAATTTTATTGTTGAAAAACCTTCAAATTCTCAATGAGATCACCCCATGTTCTTAAGTGTAGTGCATTTCATGCCAGACCATTCAACTTCTCGTGCAGGAATCAGTCTCGTGAAACTTCATCGTGCTCTCTTCAAGGCTGATATAGCCTTCCTTCAGTAATTTCTTCAAAATCTTATGACACCTGGGCAGGGAATGCAATGAAAACTGTTCCTACTGGTTGAAGGGTTGAGAACCAGAGAATACTGGTTTCAGGTAATAGGCAAATAAGCAACATTGATGTGAGGAAGTTTTTTTTAAATACAGTGTGGGGTTAGGATCTGGAATGCAGTGCCTGAGATTGTGAAGGAGGCCTTCTAGAAAGAACTGAATAATAATGTGAACAGAAAACTGGGATTGCAGGGAATATAATGGGAATTGGACTAGGTATGCTTGCTCTTGCAGAGAGCCAGCACAGACAAAACTGGCTGAGTGGCTTCCGTGTGCACTAACTGTTCTGTAGGCATAATGTGCTTTTATTTATCAATATATATGTTTAGTGTAAATAATTCCAGAACAACATAAGATCCTGAACATTTTTACACTCTTATTATGTATGATACATGTCAGTGCCACTGAGGTCATGAGCTAAGTTTTGGGCATCACCAGATCTGAGGCAGGAATGTCTGCCATAGAGCTCCAACCTCTTTGACCAGCCTGCCCTATTGTTGCCTTAGTGTCAAATTTTGTTTGATAATCACTCCTGTTAAGTGTCTTATGGCAGTGAAAGGTCTGTCCTCCCTGTTCTCACACACTGAAGCTCCTGCTGCAGGCCTTAACTCTCATTTCTCGGAGATTTGCAACAATTTTCAAGCCTCAAAATGAGCTCGCAGTTTGGAAACAATTTGGAGACCACAGTGTTAACATCTGGTTACTGCAGTCTGGCAAAAAGATGTGGAGACTGTAAAACTGACTTCTGAGGAGGTTTGAGTGCCCTGTTATGTTTGTCCCAACCTTAATCTGTGATTAATTTCAACTGGAGTGGAGAGGAATCGATTGTGTCTCATCACTCCTGAGTGAGAGGGGAGAAAACTGTCAGGGGTTGCAGTGAGAGATAGCAAGAACTGCAGATGCTGGAGTCAAACAACACAGTGTGGAGCTGGAGGAACATAGCAGGCCAGGCAGCATCAGAGGAGCAGAAAAGCTGACGTTTCAGGTCGGGACCCTTCTTCAGGGGTTTCAGTGAAATGTTATCCAGGAAATGCTCCAATGTGTATGAAGACTGAGGACAGAATTGAGCTTATTAGTGATTTTCCTTATGAACACATATCTTGCTGACATCTCCTTTCACAGCCATAAAAGAATAATATTTTGCTGAGAAGTCACGTGAAACTGCATCTTGGCAAGAAATAAAACATTCAACAGTACCTTGTGTTTCTATAGTGCCTTTAATGCAGGAAAGCCTCTTAAATATGCTTAACAGGAGTGATTATCAAACAAAATTTGACAGAGGCACCTAAAGGTAACACGAGGACAGGCTGGTCAAAGAAGTAGGTTTTCAGAATGAGTGTCTGGAAAGAAGCATGGAGGTTTAGGAAGGGAATCCAGAGGTTAGGATCTTGGCAGCTGAGGATCTGACCACCATACATGGAAGAATTAAAATTGGGAATACTGAAGGGGTCAGATTTGAATAAGTGGACATGAAGGTTGGAGAGCTGGAGGAGATTACTGAGATATTGGAGGGATTATACAAACAACAGTTGTATTCTCTGGAATTTAAAAAAGCTGCAGATAATTTGAACAGAGTTTTTAAAAATTTTAAGGGGAGCAGATAGAGAAACAATTTCTACTGACCAAGGAGCCCATGAGTATGGGCCTGGTCTTGACATTAAAATCAAACAGATCAGGAGTGAAGGATAGGATGATACAAGGCTGGAACTCTTCAACTTTTAACTTAATATGGGAAGTTTTTGTTAACTGAAGTTTCACTAGAGGATATTGGACAAAGGTGGGTATCTAGACGACATTGTGGAGCAGCCATCGTCACATTGAATGCCAGAGGTTCAGGCTCAAGCTGATGTCTTACTTTTGCTCCTAATATAAGACACCCCAATCGAGAGTGTAGCCAAACAATAAAGGTAGGTCAAGCAGTAGAACTGTTAAGATAGCTAGCAGCCAGTGGGAGAGGGAAGAGCTGGGATATCAGTGATCAAGGGAATGGATAGAAGTAGAGAGGCAGAGGAGTCGGGACAAGGCTTGGAAGAATGAGGTAGGTAAGGTATGACAGGAAGCTGTGGGTTGTTTCGGGTGACGAGGCCTTGAGAGGAATCTTCCTGAATAAAGTTAGTTTGTGATTTTTAACCTTTAAATCACAGAATCCCTACAGTGCTGAAGCAGGCTATTTGGCCCATTAGGTCCATGCCAACCATCCAGACCCACTCCCCTATCCAATGCCGCATTTTCCGTGGCTAATCCACCTAGCCTGGACACTGGTCAATTTAGCATGGCCAAGCCACCTAACCTGCACATCTTTGGACCGTGGGAGGAAATCGGAGCACCCAGAGGAAACCACACAGACACGGGGAGAATGTGCAAACTCCACACAGATAGTCACCTGAGGGTTGAATTGAACCTGTGTCCCTAGTGCTGTGAGACCGCAGTGCTAACCACAGCCACCATGCCACCCCTTTTTTCCTTTTTTATTCAAGGGGGCATAGGAACTGAAGTGACACAAGCAACAGCTGGGTAAAGGATTCAAAAGTGGAAGTTTAAAGTCCTGCCACTGATGAGGGATCATCATTAAAATGCGAATAGAGCTTAGATCTGGTGCAGCAGTGTGTTTGTGATGGTAGAGAGATCTTCAGTTTGGTGAAGAGGGAGTGGAGGTTTACTGGGTGGATGACTGCCTAATTTGGCGCACATTGCTGGCAGTAGTATTTTACACAATTTTGGCTTTATATAGACTTTAGAATGGTGCGAAAGAAGTTTATTACTGCATTTTAAGAGAACAAAAAAGTGTTCCTCTCTAAGTTGATTTTAGTTGTCTTAGCATGGCTTTTGATTGCAGCAAGTGACTAAGTTGCATAATGTTGCTACTGTTCATTTTATGAGCATGATGCTGTCGGTTTTGTGGCATCTTCTGAAGGTTGTACTGAGCGCTTGGGGTGCGGTTTCAGGCAAGTTATCCACTCTCTGGTACCTGTTCCAAGTTGCCATGTTTCATCAGAGCCTGGATAGTTGGTATCAGCAGAGTGCATCACCATGCTTGAACCCAATAGCTTTGTACAATTAGGCACTTTCTAGCAAGTGTCAGTGGAAAACATCAGGTGCAGGAATCTTCTGATTCAGTCTCAATTTCTGTGGAGTTTCTGAATCTGACCACATAGAGGATAAGCCACCTATTCCTTTCAAACAAAACAATTTGAGAGAATGTGATGATCTATTAGTATTATAATTGGACTTTTAATCCAGATATCCAGGTAATGTTCTTTGGACCTTGGTTTGAATCCTGCCATGGCAAATGGTGGAATTTGAACTCAGTTAAAATCTAGAATTGAGGGTCTAATGATGACCATTTAATCCATTGTCGATTGTTGGAAAACTCCAACTGGTTCACTGATCTTTTTAGGGAGGGAAATTGCCATCCTTACCTGGTCAGGCCTATGTGCAACTGTAGACCCACAGCAATGCTGTTGACTCCTAACTGCCCTCTGGCCATTAGGAATGGGCAATAAAGCTGGCCTAGCCAGTGATGTCCACATCCAGTGAATGAAATTTTTTTTAAAATAAAGAGCTTTGTTGTTCAGAATTCAGCACGAGC